AGACAGAACGTGGCGTGATGAGTTGGATCGGACGGCAAGGAATGTAACCAATAGGAACAGGACTGAATGGGATGGAACCGGATGGGACCAGGATGGGATCCACCGGGACCAGACGGGCCCGGTCTGGTCCCGTCTTCTTGGATCCAGGTCTTCCTGGAAAAAATTGTCGAAGAGCCTTCTGGGGTCTTGGATTTTTATTGAAACTTCGTCGAAGAATCCTCTGGGATTCGGGTGCTTTTTCAAATTTTGTTGAAGGATCTCTTAAGGTATGGTATCTTTTGGTGGAACTAGGCACATGTATGTTCAGGCCGATTTGGGAACATGAGCGCGTCTTCGCAATCGGCACGCCTGTGAGAGCGTATAATTGTAATATGCCTTACATGGCCACAGCCTTGCTTGTAACGACAGTCCCTATCTGTGCTATCTAACGACAGTCCCTATCCCTATATGTGCTTCGTGGGTCTCTGGTCGGGACTAAAGATGCACCACAGGACAAGCGCCCCTCCCTCCCCCCCCCCCCAAAAGCAGCCCTTTTCCACTTTTTCAGGTGCATGATATACAGGAATAATAAAGTGTTCTCCCCCTTTGACACGCGCTCGAGTGGCCGGCTAAATGCCCTTCGCTTGGGTGTGGGAGTGAGGTCAATTTGACCTCCTGAGATATCAAAAAATAAAAAGGCAAGACACGCCAAGTTCTAGGGTGGAAGTGCGATTATGTGACCTCAATCGCATCCAAATTCCTAGGTCGTTTTCCTAGGTCATAAACTTGGCGTCAAACAAGGTCAAACAAGGTAAAACTTAAGATTGTTCACCAGAGAGACCCAGACCTCCGCATGCGACCACCTCGAACCTAGATACTTGTTCTAGGCTAAAGATTGCTGGTTTTCACTTGAGTTAAATGACCTTTTTGACCCTAAGAAAGTCAAGGTGACCAAAAGCCTACGAAATTGCTTCTATCTTGTCATTCGAATAAGCGTCAGGGATACGCTCGGCAGTATGTTCCTAAAAATAAAATGCTGACTCGGGTCATTATGGGTCAGCAGCCTGCTCTGATTTCTAAGAAGCCCATAGATCATATCTGTTGCCGTTCCTATTATAAATGAATTCAAAATGAGCACCAGAAACAGCTCATACAGCAAGCTCTCCAGTAATAAAACCGGTTTGTTTTGGCCTTTGACCTCCGTCTGACCTTTATACGCCACCGTAGGTCAATGTAATTTATTCCGATTATAAACCAATTTAATCGGACTTTGGCCTGCCATAAGCCAGCGACCTTACAAGGTGCACCTAAATTTTACATCAAAAGATCTGCTATTCATTTCTTTGCAGCTATGCAAAGGTTGGTGTGGCTGCGACGAGCCATTTGGGAAATCATGCCGAAAAACCTTCCGGGGGTTAATTTGACCAGACCCGACCTCGTGTTAAACGGCCCGGGTGCGACCTTGGCTACACAAATAACTCTAAGGACTCAACGCGACCCCTGAGCGGTCAAGTAGCCCCTGGGTCGTTCCGAGGTCCCCTTACTGTCCAGCGGGGAGTTTCAAACCACGGGGCTCGAAGTAGCTATGAGTGAGTACGTCACCGACCGACTGTGACAGCCTCGGGGCCACTGGCTGACATGACTCCCTGTTGGGCACTGTGGGCCCGTGACCAACGCAAGGGCCCCACCACTGTTTCACGGACCAAGACCGACGAAGTCGTGGCCCCCGCCTAGCTCCTGCTTGGGAAATGGCCCCCAGGACTCAGACTGACCAGGATCCAACTGTTCGGTGTTCGTCGTCTCTGGACGACGAGATACCCGCATTGCCTTAGGGGTCCTCAAACGGTGCAAGAGGGCCTCCCACTGATATTTAAGGTCACGGTCCTACGGGCCGCGATTCTCTATCTGATTTACAGCCAGCCTTTGGGGCCCTTATGCCCTCCAACTGAGCCTTTGATCGTTGGTTCCGCTGGGCCGCCCGGGCCCCTCATCGGGCCTCATCGAACTCTGCCCCGGTCTTGGTCGGGGCCCCTTGCGAGCACAGGACCTTCTGTTAGGCACTGCGGGCCGCTGACCGATACAGGGGTCCCGACCAGTATAAATTGCTGTCCCCGGCTTTGTAACTGATTGCAAAGTGGACCGTTAGGCCCATATCGACACAGAGCTAACTGTGCGGTGCTGGTGGTGCCTGACCGACAAATAAGCCATATTGACTCAGGGGTGCCCGATCGGCACAGAGGGCCCTCTGACTGTCATTTGAGAGTCCGTCCCTGCAGGCTGGAGACCTCGAACAAGACCCGGGCGGCACCGCGTACCCTTTAGCCCCCCCCCCCCCAATCGGGCCCTTAATTGTCGGCCCCGGTGGGGCCCCTAGGCTCTTCGAGCGCCCTCGAACACTGCTTCTGGCCGGCTCCGCCGCTTACCAATACAGGGCCCCCTGATAGGCGCTGTGGGCCCCTGACAGACGCTGGGATCCCGAGCAATGCAAATCGCCGCCTCCTGCTTTGTCTCTGCATGGGGAATGGGCCCTAAGGCCCATGCCGACACGGGGCCGACTGTGCGTAATTGGTAATGTTTGACCGACATATAGATCTTTAGCCACTGAGCGGCCCCGATCCACGCGCAGGACCCTCCGGATGGCATTGAAGTGCTCAGCCCTGCGGGCCGGACCCCTGAATAACAGCCTCCGGTGGGCCTTCGGGCCCCCCGGACCATGAAATCAGGCCCTTGATCGTAGGTCACGAGGGCCCTTGGGCCCCTCGGAATCTAAGGGAGGGGAGGCACCTGTACCCTGTGCTCTCCTTGCCTGCGCTATTGCGCAGCACTAATGATGTGACACGCCGGCACGGGCCCTTCCATTGATTCACTGTGGCCTATTTAGTATCTCCCTTCGTTGTCAAAGGCATCCGACCAACGAAAGGTGCCCTCTAACATTCGGGGCTGCGTCCCTATCTCCGTTCAGGAATTAGGCCCTTCGCCGACTTAGAGACCCTTGAAAACATGGGACCCCCTGTCAGGCACAGTCTCCTTGCTGGCACAGAGCCTCCATCATCTCAGGAATCCCGACCAATGCTTAAGGTCTTATACCTGGCATTCACGGTCTCCAGCCCTTGTCTCTGTCTCTGTCTCTCTTGTCTCTGCTTGGATGGTGGACCCCCTGGCCGAAGAGGGGCCGACTATGTGGCATTTGGGGGCTCAGGCCAACATGGGGTTTTTAAATTGTCCCGCAGCATGGATGCAGGAGGCCCTCTAAGTGGTCTTCGAGGGCCCCTACCCGCGGGACCGTGATTCTTCCATATCTTCCAGCCAGCCCGTGGAGCTCTTCGAGCACCTGAATCGGGCCCATTGCCTTCGTTCCCAAGAAACCTTCGACCCCTTGGGACCTACGGGGTGGGGTTGGGGGTAGGGATGAGGAGGCATATTTATCGTGCCCCTTACCTGGTGCGACCCGGGGTCTACGAGCAGCCGGGGCTTTTGTACGGTAGGAGGGTCTTTGGGCTGCCAAAAGGCCCCTGTGCAGCCAGCACGAACCTGAGTGTCCATATGGCCGTAAGGATACTCCCAAATGGCTTTGGCGACCGGATGGGCAGCTGAACGTCCAATGAGCCCACAACACTTAGCACAGCATTTACACAACACTTGGCCTCAGTAGGCCGATGAGCACTTAGGTGGCCCAGATGGACCCCTGAACAATCAGAGGTACCCATTGCTGACCGGTGGGGTCCTGGACGGCCAATGAGCCCCCGAGTGGTCAGGGGAGAACGTCACTGGCAAGTGGCATCTCAATGCCAGGGGCGCCCCTTAGTGGCCCGAAAGGCCTTAACAGACTAAAACAGCACGTGAACGACCGGAGCGTGACATATTTTTAACTGCCGGTGTGATAGTCAGCCTCGCGACGATCTGGGGCGCAGCCAGAACTTTGGGGCAGCTGGGCAGGGTTGAGAAAGGGCCCCTTATGGTGAAAGGCCCCCCAACAAAATATCCACGGATATGGCCCGCTTGTTAATGAGGACAACAAGCGGCGGGCAGCGACGGCTGGCGGATGGGACTCTGGCCGGCTACGTTGTCATGTTTCGTAATGTGCTCTGAACAATCCGGCTTGCTATAAGTCGGCGGAATAATAGGATGCGAGCTTAGCAAGTAGGACGCTCTAGGCCTTACATGAGGTAGTGGTTATAAATAGTTTTTCTATTCGTGTGAAAAAATCGGGAATTTCAGCCCGCGGCCTGCTACGACAATGAAAAATATCCTTTCACAATTAAGCCGTGGTGGTGGAAACAATGAGACCGACGGAAAAGCTGCCAACTTTCATTGGTAGCAATGATTTTGCCAGTCCACCGCTTTTTTAAAGATTTAACCCGAACCTTTTGGATAGATAGATTTCTGGGCACTGACCTCACGTCAAGCAGTGCTTGTTGTGTGAGCCCTGACACCTACCTCCCGATCGCGCAATTCCTTGTCAACGTCAGAATTTGGTGGCGAAAGCTCAGCGTGCCGCAATGCTCAGTACGGTCCGTCCTGCCCTCTAACGTCACCTGACGTTCAGCGCGGTCGCTGCCAGCGGCCGCAGGCCATGGCTGTCACGGACAAATAGCGAGCGCCTAAAGCGACTCGAACTCACCCCATCACGGTTGGGCGAATCGGAACGCATGCGCCCTAACCAACTGAGCCACCGCGACGGAGTGGCAGTTGAAAGACAAACGTTTCCATTTCGACCTAGCCACACCGAGATGCGGAAGAAGCCGTAGTTTCCACTTCTTCCGTGGAGTAGCGCTTTAATCTGGGCTTTCGGGGAAGAAGCACCCGGCGAGCGCGTGCCTTCGTTCCCCGCACGGCTGTGTGCGGGACCAAACACCTACAAACGAGCAGCCGGCCCCCGGGCCGCTCGCTGGCCCGGCTGCGAGCGCCGCATCGAGCGGCGCTACGGATCGCGGTCGGCAGCCCGGCGAGGGCACTGGTGACGGGGGTTCCGAGGAGACGAGCAGAGCGGCACCGTCTGCAGCAACGTCAGGAGGCAGCTGCTAGTGTGCAGGGCAGCGCCGGCGCCGACCGAAGCCGTTCGAGATGTGCAGCTTCAGTCCGCGGCAGGTCTGCAGGCACGGGCGGTGGAGAGAGGAGCTGAACCGACGTCGTTCTGCTCCACCATTTGCCGAGACCTGCCGCCGCGCCCCGGCCAGCGGCGTGGGCTTCACGTCTTGTGCGGTGTCGTGGGGTGCAGCGGCCGGCCGAACAGCGCCGCTTACAGGCCGACGTGAGCGCGGCCGCCGCAGTGACAGCGCCTCAAGGTCAATCCTGCTTTCCTCACTGGCCTCGTCCGTGATGCATGCCAGACGGCCTGAGCGCGCGACCACGGCGTGTAAACCCCGCGTGATACATCACGCACCCTGGAGCAGGAGCAGAGGCGGGAGCTGGAGTTGGTGCTGGAGCCAGAGCCAGAGCCAGGGCCGGCGCTGGGCTGTTGGCTACGCGTCGCCGACGCGCACGCTTAAGAGGCGACGCTGAACCGGGTACTCGGGGTACGTCGGTGCTTTTTGTTCTATGAGCACATTTGTTGAAGTCAGCAACGCAGAAACACTGACCACGTATCTGATGAGACGTAATGTTTATCCAGTAGAAAAACGCAGACTCTCGCAGTCGTGGAAGTCAACGTAACAGACAGCGCAGACCTGAACCCTGGTTGGTCAGCGGCGACTTCGCCTGTTCACAGTTTAATGAGCGTGCTCGGTGCCTTATTAATTTGTGCGGTGAGTTTACTCAGCAAAGATACTACGAAAACAAACACGTGCTTCAACACGCGTCTGCGATGCAAGCACTTGTTTTGTATACGTATATCACCATCCCCACCAGCCAGGATTTGAGGCGCCTTGTGAAAGCCTTAAAGCATCGCGGACAGTAACCTTTCTCGAATGCTCTGAATAACCCGGAAGGGCCACGCCGCGCTTATTTAGAGCGCGTTTGAAGCATGTACGCGTAATCCGGCACGCACTACATCGCAGGCGGGTCAACAGCATGCTCAGGTATTTTTGTGGGAGCATGTGTGCGTACAAGCAGGCGTACATGTCTCAGAGCTAATCCGACACCGCGGCAGAACTGAACATGAAGTCCGGGAGGGCGGGGAGGGGGCGAAGTTCCAGCCTCGCCCCCCCCCCCCGCAAGCACAAGGAAAATCCACACCTCTGTTGGAAAATCCACACATCTGTTGCGGGGGAGGGGGGGGGGGGGGCGAAAATCCACACCTCTGTTGCGATTGCCCTCCGGCAGGCCAGCCCGGCCCGCAAAAACACGGCGAGTCCGTTGGATAATGATATTTCGTACCAGCCATTCCTGATGTGGTTCGGTGGGTGCCGGTCCGGCGCCGGAGCCGCCCGGGCCGGCAGCCGACGGCAGACAGGGACTAGTCACGTGATCACATCGTAAATGGAATGTCTCCGCAGAAAGAAATGGCAACTCAATCACAACTGGGAATTGCGCTGGGCACCGGCCACGAGCGCCGGAGCGCACTGCGCGCCCAGCGCCCCTGGCGGCCACTGATCAAACTGAGAGACCTCCGACCAACCACCAGATGGCGCGCGCGGCCGCCCGCTGACTAAACGTGGCCACAGCGCGTAGCGTCGGCGCAGCGGGGTGGCTGAACGCCGCGGGTGACTGAAGGTTCCCTGGGTTGGGCGGGCCGCTCGTGTGCACATTGGCCCCACCGGCCGCCGCCGAAAAGCTCGCCTGCAAACACGGCCCTTCCACGGCCGCATCGCTTCGAGTACAAAACACATGCACGGATATATGCACACTGACACCGCTCCACGGCGGCAGGCTGATATACGCGGGCGACGCACGCAAGGGTAACTGCAGAACGCATCACAACGCATCCCCAAAACGAAACGATGACCTCCGGCGGCGTCGCGGAGCCCTCGGTCAGCTCACCGCCCGTCGCCGCGCGGCGCATCCCAGAGTAAACACAGGCACCGTCCGCGGCGGCAAGCGACTAACCCAATCCAAACGGAGCACACGGCCTGCGCGGTCGGCGCGTGTGCGCAGTCTGTCCGGTCCGGGGGCGCGCCGCCATCGCCCCCATCCCCGAACGTCGCCGGGCGCGTCGCGCACGCCCGGACCGGCCGTCCGAACATCGCACGGCGGCGGGGCCCATGACTTAGCAGTTATTGGCACTGAGGCGGAGGCGAGTGCTTGTGCGCGCGGCGGCCGCGGCCGCGGCGGCGGCGCTCGCGGCGCTAGGTGGCGCCGTCGTCGCGGAAGCGGCCCGCCTCGGGCGAGCCGCCGCCGCGACGCCGGCTTAGGTCCTGCGGCTCGGCGCGGCGGCGGCGGCCCGTCCACCACCTGGCGGTAGTTGTCCCACGAGATATCGTGCTTGCGCTTCACGTGCACCTGCAGCGAGCGTTTGTACTTGAACACGGAGCCGCACAGGTCGCACGGCAGCGGCTTGGCCTCGCCGTGAACCTCGCGCTTGTGGCGCGCGAAGTCGCGCACGATCATCTTGGCGCAGGACTCGCACCACCGCGACCGGCGCACTGTAACGACAAAGGGCGTCAAAAGGCCAGCCTTAGCAAAAGGCCGGTGGGCGCCGACTCAGCCGGAGGCACAAGCGAGCGAGACGCGCCGGCTCGTTCGAAAGCGCGGCGCACGTTTTAGCTGCAGGCACGCGACTTGAAAGGGTGCACAACATTTCATTCACGGTATACACGCGAGCAACAAATGGAGCAGCTCAGTGCAAAGGTTCTTTTAACGCATTCCCGGAACGAAAAGGCAAATCATGAGCAAAGAGAGTCGTCCCCAACTGATTACACTCTTCCCAAAAAGCGACATCATGAGATCCCGCTATTCAGAATGCTGACAGGGAATGCCACTACGCGCGAGCAGAGGCTCCTCACAAATCAGACGACTTCATTTGACACAGCAAGAATCTGTCCCGAATCCTGACAGCACGGTCGCGGCCGCGCACCACCTGCGGCAGCCACAGTTCTCCATCGGCAGCAGCCGGACAGCTCCAACATCCTGACGTCCCGCTCCGTCACGGCCCGCCCGCGGCACCCCTGGCCGCGCCAGCTCACCTGGCGAGTGCATGCTGGACGCCGGGTCGATGCCCGGAGCAGCCGTGAGGACGTCTGGGACGCACACAGATCAGTCAGGTGACGGGTACTGGCAGTGATGCACCGGCAAAGCACTAGCACGTGGCGCAAAGATATGCGCCGAGAGATCACTGTGCCCACTTCAAACACTGGTTCCCTGTCTCACACCGTCCGCGCCATGGGACACCGTGGCCACGCCGCAGCGGCATTAGCACATGCTGGCCCTAAAGACGATGCAAACCAGCCCTTTTTGGTTTGTACGCCTGGTTTTTGGTGTAGTTTTGCTCGAGCCCTGTCGTACAGGTGGTACGCACTGATGCAATACAGCTGAAAGCCAAGCTTGGTGAGTCAGGTCATGAATACACTGAAAACGACCCGCTGAATATCAACGGAACGCTCCACCACGCACAGAGCACGGTAAAATACAGGGAGCGGTCGCGCATCGGTCGTCCCAAAACCTGACATGGCTGCGTGCCTAGATACAGTGAAAAGGAAAACACTCAAATGACATGTAACGCAGCTGAATAAGCAACGATTATCGCGCAATTATACAATGTAATTCTTGCCATTCAATGAAGATTTGGAATACAGAATCCAAATATTTATCCGAGGCAGACTGTGGGCGATCTCCTTTGCGACAACGAGGCATCACTCGTCGGGGAGTGATACCATTTTGTCCATGGAAACGTTTCTTCACCCAAATCGCCACTGTCCCGGTGCAAACCCGCAGCATGTACTATATCGGACTGGCACGCGATCAGTGGCAAAATTTCGCATCGCTGTGGCATGTCATTCCCCAATTCAAAGTAACATGCAGCGAGATGCGTGACTTTGGAGAGATTTACTGCCAACGCAAATTGAGAGTAAATGTCATCTTTGCGTGTTGTATAACCGTGATTATGCTTCGTACTTAATAATAACACAAGATACTTAAACTAGATATGTAACTACAATAGCATATATATATATATATATATATATATATATATATATATCATAACACCATAGCTAAAAATAACATAATATAGCTACATAAAACCGCGGAAACAACGATAGGACGCGTTCCAAAAGCACTTCTTTCCATTTAGGACAGCACTTAACGCAAAAATTAAACTGGTGATGCGACGGAGAAAAAAACACTATTTCTTCTCCTATCCCAGCATAAATCTTGCCCTGCCGAAGGACAAGTTCCAAAACGGGACCGATCTTCTAACCGCCTCCGTCGTTCCATTTCGTCGGGTTTGGCACACGACCCCGTTACCCACACGTCATGACCCAGCCGATCTCCGCGCGTACTCACCCATGCCGATCTCGCCGTTCTCCATCTCCTCGACGGAGACCATCAGGTCCTGGCCGGCGAGCGCCGCGTCCTCGGCTCGGGAGCC